CATTACTGTCTAAAAAATCTATAGCGATGAAATTCGACACGAACATATTTTATAGGAACTTTAATATTATTGTAAAATTTTATAAGGATCGGTCCATAAATGACATTAACCCGTCTCCTTCTGAAAATGGCTTAACTAAAATCGTTCTAGAAAATTTGACGAGGATCGGTCCATAATTGACCAAACGTCCCCCCCCCCCTAAATAAGGTCCCTCTCAGAAAATACCTTAAACGCTTTTTACTACCTTAAAAATGCAAGTATAGCGACAAAATTCGACAAAAATTTCTCTATACATAGATGTAATAAATGAGAAAATTGTTTGGATAATAAAAGCATGGATTCTTAAATATCAAAGTTTATTTATAAGGAAGCATTCCTTTTTGGCAATGATATGATGGTGGGTATACAAGATTCGGCACAGCCGAATATAACACTCTTACTTGTTTCCATACAAATTGGCATTTTTTGAAGTCGTAGAATACGCTTGTAAAAATAAATTTTATTTTATTTTGAGAGCGTTTATATTTATGCTCACATTTTTAGGTACTCATTTTCTCAACAGCATTACCATACTTTCAAAATATTTTCATACATTTTATAAACAAAACCATGTAAATAGGCAACGAAAAATAAAAACCAAAGAAAATAAATAGAAATATGATTTGTAGTCACTGTCGTAGCTTTAATTATGGGCCTATGTCGTTTTGACAACGTTTTTGCTTGAAGTTACAGTCGTGTTCTGTTTCATCATTTACTTTAGAAATGAGAGATTTGGTAAATTTTTGATTTTACGAAAAAAATTCTATTTTTGTCAGATTTTATTAGATTTCTACGTTTCATATTTTATTCATAAAAATATGGGCTAAAATAAAAAAATAAAAAAAAAATTAAACAAAGTATAAAAGTAGTCCGACCCAGCAGTTCGACAAAGAGTCAATGCATACGTAAAAGACTTTACACTAATGTGTAACAATATGGTTGACCCTAATTTCTATATAATGGATTATTCGTCACCAACGTACTCTTCGTAAACGAGAGCGAAGACAATCTTCACTTTACTGTACCCCAGGTAAATGAGTGAGGGGACACTTAAAAATTGTTTTTTTTTCCATTGTACTTGTAGATATTTTGCACATCTATTGGGGACACTATTATCATTTTCCACTAAAGTTTAAACATCTAGTTGTATCCTATTTGAAAGTTTACTGTACACCAAGTAAGCAAGAGATGGACAGTCGTTACTTTACTGTCCCCCGAGTAAACGAGAGAGGAGACACTTGAAAAAAATTAAGAATTGAATGTTAAGAGAAAAAGAAAAAACATGATCAGTTTTGTCGGAGCGCAAGGCAATGAGCAGTTAAGCTACGTTCACACCTATCAAATGTTTGACGAAAATGACGTGACCCCTAAAAAATCTACATTTTGATTTCCTTAAAATATATATTTATTTGCACAAACATAATATATCTTTGACGACATCAGTTCAGAACGTCTTTATTATTTGTTTCGACAATATTTGCAATTACAAATCATGCAGAATCAAAAAAAAAAAAAAAAAAAAATTACAAAAATTAGTGGTTACGTCTTTTTCATAAAATGTTTGATAGGTCTGAACGTAGCTTTATACTATATCATCACTTTTTAAGTTATTTGGTTTTATTTTAGTTGAGTTTAAGAAAGTTCTCGCGAAAAATTTTGTTGTGTGAATTTTAAAATATAATTTTTTTAAAGTAAATTAAAAAATAGTGAAAGTTATGAAATTTAAATTAGAAATATTTACAATTTGGAAAAGGGATTAGGGAGAAATTAATCTTTCCTTGATATAACAAATTCTATTCTTTCAGAGTCATTTATGTGTAACAATAAATTTCGAAAAAGTCGGATTTTACTGAAGATGCAAATGAGCAGCAATATTAAAAATATTTATTTTAATACTTATTTAAACTAGAAATAAAGTAATTAAAAAAAGTTTTTTCTTATTTTTCATAATTTTTAGAGTTAAACTTTGGCGTACCGGTTATTTAACCCTACTGCAGTACCTGTCCATTGGACTTTCTACTTGGGGACACTTGACTTTCTCCTAGGACATGTCATTAGGTAGTAAAGTAACTAGTAAAAGAGCTAGTAAAGTGACTGACTCCCTAGAACCCACTTGGAGATTACCACCCATTGACTACCTCTTGACAGTTTCGTTGTAGATTGTAGAGTAACGATTGACTTCCTCGTAGGACAAGCCCATGTTAAAATGGTTGAGCACTTGGGTAGTCGGGTGGCTAGGGGCCACCATAAGTGGTATGTCAAGTGGTTAGTTCGGGACAAAGCTCTAAAAGAATTCATTCCCTAATTCTTTTTTTGAAATTGAGTTATATTTTAAAGAATTAACAATTCTTCAAACTCATTCCTTTTGATTTAATTCCTAGAATTAATTCTTAAAGCTTTCGATGTAGTTGAAATAATTCTCTAATGAATTAATTCCTATAGAATGTTAAATTCCTTCTGAATGAATTAAATTTGCATTCAATCTGTTACAAATTGAATTAAAATAAATTTCAACAATTCCTATTGAATTTTAAATTCCCTCTGAATGATATAAATTTTGTTTGAATTCAATCTATTACAAATTGAATTTAAAAATTTTTCAACCATTAAATTTGAAATAGATTGAATGAAAGTTTTGTTTTATAATTCAAAAACATTCTGTATATTAAAAATTGAATTAAATTTTTTTCTTTCATTCAATTTGTAATAGAAGGAATTAAACAAATATGAATGATCATTCAATTGAATTTATTCCTATAAAGAATGAATTCTCTTAGGAATTAATTCAATGGAATATAAAGCCAAGTAATTCAGCTTTAGAATTTAAATTCAAAGAATGATTTTAAAGAATGGTACATTCAAATATTTAAAGCTGAATTAAAAATGTAAGGGAATTAATTCCATATAGAATTCATTCTTTCCAAGCTTTGGTTCGGGATTATCCCGTCGAACTGCTGGGGTTTTAGTAACAAAAATGTATTTGTATTGGTGCATTTTAAACACACCCAATAAACATCGATTCAAACCTGTGAATATTTTTGAAAATTTTCTTAACTAAATAATGTATTTTCCAAATTGTTTTCAAATTTTAAAGTTTAGCCTTTGAAATAAACATGATAATTTCAAAAAAACGTTTAAAAAAATATAATGTGTGATATTTATAAAATTTTCAAAGTTTTGTTTTAATTGAACTTAGAAAAGTTTCTTTCAAAAAATAAATTATTTTAGAAAAATAAAAACAGAACAGTTTTCTACAGCAAGGGAGCGAAAAAACGTTAAATATAGGAGAAATAATCGGAGATATAAAAGAAAAATATGATAAAATAAATGTATGAATGTTTTATTTTCAGGTGATGTAAAAAAATATATGAATTTTGCAATAGTTAGCATTATAATTAGGGTTTGAAATATGTATGAAAATAATAATAAAGAATACTTGAAATACGTTTGAAAATTTTTTTAGTTTCAAGCTTACCTCTAGCCTTTTTTTAAATTTGAAATACATTTGAAAAATACGTTTGATTTCTAACTGCCTTTTTGTTTGAGAAGGCCATAATTTTTGTAGAAATGTATTTCTATGTTGAAAGTTTTATTTCAGAATGAACAGTTTATAAATATTTTTTCATACAATATTTCAAAAACCTACTTATACAAAATTTACAAAATTCAATCAATATTTAACAAAGTATATAAAAACAAGTTTGTATTAACAATATTCCAATACCCTTCCTTAATACAACTTCAACAAATTTCTAAATTTTGAAAATTTAATAGAAGACAGAGGTTTTGTCAATATGTCTGCTTGCATTTCATCTGTAGGGCAATATAATAATTTCAAAATATTTTTATTTTTAAGATCTCGTACAAAATGATATTTGGTATCCACATGTTTTGTTCTTTTGCTGAATTTTTCGGAACCAACTAACTTTATGCAACTTTGGTTATCTTCAAAAATTGTAGTAGGTTCGTGGAGTTTAATACAAAAATCTTCAACGAGTTTTCTTAACCATATCGTTTCCTGTGTTGCTTCAGCTAGCGCTATGTATTCGGCTTCTGTAGACGATAGTGATACACACTGTTGTTTGTGACATGACCAGCTTACGCAACCACCATTATATTTAAAAACGTAACCGCTAAAGGATTTTCTGTCGATTCGGTTTTGTGCCCAATCAGCATCTACATAACCAACAAGTCCTTCACATCTATTACCTCCGAGTTTTAATTTCAAACATTTTGTTCCATTTAGGTATTTTATTAATCTTTTCAACTCCGTCCAATCTTCTTCAGCTGGCTGACTGACATGCTGACTTAATATGGAAACGGCTGCTGAAATATCTGGACGGCTATTTACTGAAAGGTATATTAGACATCCAATTAGCTCTTGATATTTTTCGTTGTTTTCCATATATGTAAAATCTTTCCGATCTAATGCAATATAGCCGACATCCATTGGTATTTTAGAAACTTTGCTTTCTTGTAAACCAGCTCTTGAAACAATTGAATCAACGTATTGACTTTGATGAATATTATAAAAACCATCATCCGCCCGCTCAATTTTGACACCAAGATAAAAATGTACATCTCCAAGTTTTGTATGTTCAAAATTGTTCTGAAGTATCGTTTCAACTATTTTAAAATGTTCATCAGCCTTGGCTGTTACCAAAATGTCATCTACGTAGACAAGTATGAAAATGAATTCATTATTAATTTGCATTTTTAATAAACATGGATCTGCATTTCCTTGAACAAACCCTTCCTGTTTGAGTACCTCAAACAATTTTGTGTTCCAGCATCGCGCTGCTTGTTTAAGGCCATACAAACTTTTTTGTAGTTTACATACCATTTTATCTTTTCTATTATTTGATACTTCATATCCAACTGGTTGCCGCATGTATATTTCTTCATCAAGTTCTCCGTTTAGAAACGCAGTTTTTATGTCGTAGTGTTTGACGTTGTAATTTTTAGAACCAGCAATTGTTAGAAACATTCTCAATGTAGACTGTCTGACGACAGGAGCAAAAAACTTCGTCATAATCCACACCGTACTTTTGGCTAAAGCCCTGCGCAACCAATCGAGCTTTGTATTTTAAAATTTCGCCATCTGAACCACGTTTTATTTTGTAAATCCACTTGCATCCAATGGCTTTTCGTCCCTCGGGCAATGGGACTACCTTCCAAGTTTTGTTGTTTTCTAATGATTTCATTTCCTCATTCATAGCTTCTACCCATTTTTCCTTTTCGTTACATTCTATGGCTTGTTTGTATGTACTGGGTTCAACGTTTTGTATTAAATTTACGTACCTCTTTGGCAATACACCCAAATTCGAACGATTAGATCTTCTCAAATTAACTTGTGGGTCTGTAATAAGTTCTACATCATTAGATTCGCTAGTATTTGAAATTACCGTTAAATCGTTTGAATCACTGGAACCATTAATAGTATCTTCATCTTCAGATTGTACTGCAAACTCTTCATCTGCTGAGAAATAATCTTCATTGTTAGAGGTTGAACTTTCGTGATATTGAATTAGTGTGTCTGAATTGTTGCCGTTTAAATTTACTTCAACTTCTTCTGAATTCGATTGTACCATTTCGATTTTTCTTGAAGTAGTATTTTGTAATCTCGGCTTATTACAATCTTTAAATTCGTAAGATTCAAAAAACGTAATGCTTTTGACTCTTCTGAATATCCCACGAATATCAATACTTCAGTTTTCTGATCCAATTTTTTACGTTTTTGCGCTGGTATAAGTACATGTGCTTCAGAACCAAAAACTTCAAATTGGTTTACATCAACCTTCTTATTTTCCCATAACTCAAAGGGAATGTTTTTGTTAGACCTTGTCGTAATTCGATTTTGAACGAAGTTTGCTGTTACCACTGCTTCTCCCCAAAAAATGTTTGGTAAATTCGCATCCGCTAGCGTACACCTTACCATCTCAACCAAATACCGATTTCTCCTCTCTGCCACTCCATTTTGTTGCGGAGTGTATGGCGCGGTTAGATGTTGTTGTGTACCCATGCTTTTTAGAAACTGTTTAACATTGTCTCCAAGGTATTCACCTCCACGATCTGAACGTAATATTTTAGGAATTTTATTAAATTTGGTTTCAACATAATGAAAATATTCTTTTAGTTTCATAAAAACATCACTCTTATTTTTCAATAAGTATATTACGCAATATCGGCTAAAATCGTCGATAAAAGTAACGAAATACCGATAACCACTTGGGCCACATCTGTATGTACCAGATCAAGTAAAGCTTTTGACTGCTCACCTGATTTATTTGGAAATGACTTTCGAGACATCTTACCACTGAGACATATTTCACATTCTCCATTATTTCCGCATTCATTTAACTTAATATTTGCATCCTTCAAGATATTCTTTACAGCATTTACATCTCTATGACCCATCTTGCGATGCCATTCATGTATGCATCCATTGTGTTTGTCATTGTTTATTAAATTGACTTCATTATGCTTCACCCTTAGTCTGTATAAATCTTTCACCAAATCACCAATCGCCACAATAACGTTATTTTTTAAAATTTTGCATATTTTATTATAAAAATATACACCGTAACCTTTTTCAGCCAACTTTTTCACTGATAAAAGATTACATTCAATCGATGGAACGTAAAGAACCCCTTTGATAAAAATTCTTTCGGTTGAATTATCTTCTTTTATTACTTCGATATAACCCGAACCTTTACCTTGCGAATTGATTTGGTAACCATTTGCCACATTTACCGACTCAATATGATTTTCATCCAGACTCGTAAAGAAATGTTTCTGATTAGATATGTGACATGTAGCCCCAGAATCTAAAAACCAGTCCTCTTTACCACATTTACCAAGCCAAAAACAATGCTCTTGAATGCTTTGTTTTGCCTTTGAATTTCCAGCCACGTTTATTTTATTCTTCTTAGCCAAGGCTTCTTTATAAATTCTACAGTCCTTCTTAAAATGACCTGCTTTATCACAGTAGAAACACTTCTTGGAATTGTTGTGTTGTTCTTTCTTCTGGTTTACCTTTTGCACTTTCAACACTGATGTGTCTGATGATGACCTCTTATGAATGAACCTTACGAGTTGCTTCTTCCACCAACTTTCCTTTGACAAAGTTAAAATTTAGATGGTCATCGCTACGAGCTTCTAAAGCAACAATAAGTGGATCATATGTATCTGGAAGGCTTCTCAATAACATAGCTACCGCCCACGAATCGCTTAGTGGGTCACCCATGACAGCTAATTGATCTATGTAGGATATCATCTCATTAATGTGAGCTTCCATTTTTTCATCATCTGTCAGTTGCATCTTGCATATGGTCTTCATTATATGTACCCTTGTACTTAAAGATGGTTTCTCATAATGGTCTTGCAAATTTTTCCAATAATTCAAAGCATTTTCCGAATTCTTGAAATGAATTAATTGTGCATCTTCCACCATGAGACCAATACATGCCTTTGCCTGCCCGTCTCTCTTTATCCAGTTAGCATCCGGCACTGCGGGTTTAGGTTTTGAAACAACATCCCACAGATCTTCTTTAATTAAAATTAATTCCATTTTAATCTTCCAAACTGAATAATTGGCTCCATTGAGCTTTGTGACGGTTGATTTAATTTCTTCTCTTGAAAACATTTCTAAATTTTTAATAGCCCATAACCTGTAGAAATGTATTTCTATGTTGAAAGTTTTATTTCAGAATGAACAGTTTATAAATATTTTTTCATACAATATTTCAAAAACCTACTTATACAAAATTTACAAAATTCAATCAATATTTAACAAAGTATATAAAAACAAGTTTGTATTAACAATATTCCAATAATTTTCCATTTGAAAACAAAAATTTTCAAATTTGTTCTCAAAGGCTATGTATGAAATTTGAATAGGTTTTCAAATACATATTTACATCATTTCAAAGGTTTTTGCTTATTGGGCACAGAGTTTTATAAAAAATTACAATTTTAAATTTGTTTGAATTTTCAATACCAAAAATTGAAACTCTGCTTGTAAAATAAAATTCAACAACAACAAAAATGAAATGTCAACAATTAAACAAAAAAATTTTTTCCAGTTCAAGAAAATTAAACAAAATTGTAAATCAGAAGTGCGTTAAAACTATTTAAAAGATTGCAGTTTTTTTGTGGATAACTGCAATTTCGCGTACGATCTTTGAAAGTGCCCAACTTTGAAAGTGTTAAACTTTTGAGTGTTTTGACAAGTTTAAATTTCTCACAAGAGAGTCGAATTCACACGGCCATAGATAATACACATAGATTGCCAACTCAAGCTTTACCACGAAAAAGAGAACTTTCTCTCTTCACACTTACATGTTCTGTGTGAATTCAACACAAAGCTACAACAACAAATATTGAATATTTGAAGTCCAAAATTCGCACATAAAAACGGTTCGGGCACATTTTTTTATAACACAAACACAAATTTTATCTTTTTTTACAATTATTTAAATATAATTTCTTCACAAAATTCTTTTTAATTTTCACAAACCAAAAACTTATTTTTTTAATTATTTGACATTTAATTTTTTGTTTTTCTAATTTTAAATTCAAGGTGCAAAGTAGCATTTTTAAGTAGTAAACAAATTTATGAAAATCGAAAAAATTAAAGAATTTTACATTTTAACAAATATAGAATGCATGAAAAATATTATCATGCTATTATAAATACAATCTATAATTTAAAACGTATTAATTTAAGAAGAATAATGCAATAAAAACATTGTATTATTATTTCGACCGACTTTATGCAACTATGTGAGCATTTTAAGTTTGGTAAAAAGCTTTTATACACTAACACTTCTAAAGAAAATCTTACTAATACATATTTAGAGTTAGGTTTTTTTGACAGCTGAGTTAGGTTTTTTCGGAGAGAGTTGACCTTCTATGGCAATATTCTATGCACACGGCACTCGTAGAAGTGAGAGAGTAATTTCCTATATGTGAGAGTGGGACTACTTGTTATACCTTGTATTTTAAAAATATATTTTCAAATAAAGTGTGTGTCAAAAATGATCTTGAATTGTAAAAAAATTAAAAAATATATATAAAAATTTGTATTTAGATCTAAATATTTTACACATTTCCGTAAAAAAAAATAAAAGTGTGTATACTTTTTAAAAAGGACAAAGGAAACTCTTTTCAAAACAGTTGAAAAATATTAAATCGGCTAAGAAAATTTTGAGATATATTTTTTTTTTGGACTGTCTAGTCAACAAAAAGCGTTTTTTATATTTTTTGTTTTTGTACTCTTCTAACTATCGTCCGAAAGTAACTTAAAAGTTTATTTCTAAAAGACGAAAATTCGAAATCAATGTATGTATTTTGTTTTTGTAAAATGTGCGTTCTCGTCTGACAATCCTCCAGAAGTGTTTCTGAAGTGGCGTCTGGAGTGATGCGCAACAGTTTTGTCTTCTAAATGTTTGAACGGTTCATACAAGAAGTATTAATGATTATGCCATGCTCATGGCATATATGTATATACAGTGTCTCATATAGGTTAGGTTGATAGGAGGATGTATACTACATCAAATCCGAAGAAATACACCTAGGCCACTATCGGGCCTGTTGTGCGCTCCAATTCAAGAAAAAAAAAAAAAAAAAAAAAAAAAAAAATTGTTCACTGAATGTATTATTTTTCCATGTTCAGAAACTCAGTTTTTTGGACGTAATTCCTAAGAATCTTCCAATCGGTGTTGGTTAAGAATGTTATTTCCGGAATAACATCACTTCCAAGATACTTGGATCTAACTTCGACGAATGCCTGACAATGGCAAAGAAAGTGCTCCAGAGTTTCACTGTCCTCTCCACATGCTCTACATTCGTCTGAATCCGCACGTCCAATTTTGTATAGATGTGCTCGTAATCCTGTGTGTCCACTCAGAATACGTACCATCATACTAACCTCAGACTTGCTCATTTTGAGAAGATTTCTCGTCTTGCTCTCATCAGGGTCACCCCATAGAATCTTTGTGGTTCTACCCACCGTTTCATTATTCCAAGAGGCGTTATGCTATTCTCTCATCCATATTTTTAATTCAGCTTTTGTTGCGTCGAATGGTTTTGCGTTTGTCAGGTTAACTACATCGAGCTCCCTTCCCTTTAAAGCTATTACATTCGCCCTTTCGTTGCCGACTACTCCCGAGTGGCCTGGTACCCATATGATGTGAACCTTACCTCTGGGAGAGTATTCAGTTAAAGCTTTCTTACAATCCAATACGGTCTTAGATTTAATTCTATCACCTGATATCGCACAAATTGCCTTCTGGCTGTCGGTAAATATATTAAGCCCTGTGGGCGCCATATTTATTCTAATCCAATGTACACATTCCGTTACTGCTCGTACTTCTGCCTGGAAGCTTGTGTTATGATTAGGTAAACGGTGGTATATTTCTGTTTCTGGGTCTTCAATATGGAACCCCAGGCCCACTTTGTCCCCTAATTTAGAGCCATCCGTGTAGCAACGGATTCCTACTGGTATTTGCTTTAATGTTCCGCTTGACCAAAACATTCTATCTGGGATTAGCGTTTCAAAGTTTCCGACATATTCAGTGTCCGGTATGCG